ATTGTACGCCCCTTGAGGTTAGGGACCTTAGATTGTACGCCCCTTAGGATTAGGGACCTTAGATTGTACGCCCCTTGAGGGTTAGGGCCCTTAGATTGTACGCCCCTTGAGGGTTAGGGACCTTAGATTGTACGCCCCTTGAGGGTTAGGGACCTTAGATTGGTACGCCCCCTGAGGGTTAGGGCCCCTTAGATTGGTACACCCCCGAGGGTTAGGGCCCTTAGATTGGTACACCCCCGAGGGTTAGGGCCCTTAGATTGGTACGCCCCTGAGGGTTAGGGCCCTTAGATTGATGCGAATGTACAATATATAAATATGTAAAACGTTCAGTTAATTGACGGCGCTATATGTACCTGAAATAAATAAATGACACAACGCGACAGGCGCTTTTAAAGTGTTTTGTAAACGCCAGAGAAATCGCGCCAAATTTGCCCTCCTAACCCTCTTGTAGTGAACTGTATTGTTGCTGTCAGGGGCAGACTGACAAGTCATGGGGCCCCCGGGCAATAGGGGATCATGGGGCCCATGTGTCCTTGCCCAAACTCAAAAAAGCCTATGAAAAAGGTACCAGGGGCATCTCATGGGGCCCCCTACTGACCCCGGGCCCTCGGGCAGTTTCCAAATGGTCAGTCCGCCCCTGGTTGCTGTATTGTCTCCCATTATATTGTACAGCGCTGAGCAAACTGTTGGCACCATAAATCCTGTATAATAATAATTTACGGAACTCGTAAGGTGCGAGTTGGCCTCACCCAACGAGAGAGTTGTAGTCGTTGATGGACTTCATTATAAAACTGGGAGATCGGCCTGTACCTTGATGGGGGGGGGGGTATGTCCTCCATGGATATAAATGTACAGTTTGTTCAAACGCGGTTTTCTCTGTATTAATTGGCCAACATCTGTGTACCGTACGTCGCAGGCGTTCCCAGCGCAGGGACATCGGCGTGGTGGTTGGACCGTCAAATGATTGCACCGCGCAGCTGTCCGGCCTTCCCGCCACCTGTTCCTAATAGGCCCCACCTGTGACTGCAATTCCCTATCTGTGTGCTGGCGGGTAGATGGAGGTGCGGGGTGATGCAGATGGCGGTGGGGGGGGGGGGGGGTGTGATCTCCTGTACCCCCCCCCCCCCAGCCGTGTATGTCAATATTGGCACATTGTAGCACAGACTCCATAGCAAGTAAAACGGCATTTTGTAGCTTTCCGGCCCCTTCCCGCCAGATGAAGGCACTGAGCTGACTCCGAGGGATCCGACGTCTCCACCACCTGGAAGAAGACATTTGTATTTTCTCTATTGTGTTTTGGTGGAGAGTCCTGTGAGCTCAGAGCCGGCCCTGCGGGGAAAACCAGTCCGACCTGTTCAGTTTAGAAAACAGATACAGCCAGGGATTTAGAGGGACCTTAAAGAGGAACTCCAGCCGGAAATAACTAATGTCCACAGGCATGCTCATTAAAAATTAAAAAGGAGCCAGAAATTCCTACCTGCTCATTAAAGAGCACCTGTCTTGTTATTATCCTCCTACATACAGAGCAGAAATCAGGCCCAGAGTGGGCGGTTCTGTACTTGAGTCAACTGGTCTACTGTGCGGCCCGGGGCTTTATCCAAAGTGTTACTGAACCCACAGCAGTGATATCTGTAGATGCAGTATAGGATGCTTGTTATACTCAGTGTGGAACCTAAGGGGTTCATCCTCTGTATTGTGTAAAAACGCTGTTTGATCCTGTCTTCTCTGGTCTTACCCTTCTTCCAGTGCCCCCCTCTTACCTCCTGGTAAGATGTATTGTGTGGAGTCACTCTGCTCATGCTCAGTTTGGTGTGTATTGCTAGAGGGTTTTTTTTTTTTTTTTTTTTTGGGAGAGTGCATGTGATCAGCACAGGGCCAATCAGCACTGTCCAGACAGAGGTCAGGGGTCCTGAATCTTCTTAGAGCAAAATGAAAACTCCTCCTACAAGCTTTAACCAGTGCTTGGCTGGATACTGATAGAAGTCACAAGACTGTCATATACTGCTGATGAGAAAAGGGGTTTAGCAGCTGATGTTTACTAAAATAATTACATTTCCATGTTCTGTGTACTGTGGGACATCAGATATAGTGAATGCAGGGTCCAGGGAGAGCAGATATAGTGAATGCAGGGTCCGGGGAGAGCGGATATAGTGAATGCGGGGTCCGGGGACAGCGGATATAGTGAATGCGGGGTCCGGGGAGAGCGGTTATAGTGAATGCAGGGTCCGGGGAGAGCGGATATAGTGAATGCGGGGTCCAGGGAGAGCAGATAAAGTGAATGCGGGGTCCGGGGAGAGTGAATATAGTGAATGCGGGGTCCGGGGAGAGCGGATATAGTGAATGCGGGGTCCGGGGGAGAGCGGATATAGTGAATGCGGGGTCCGGGGGAGAGTGAATATAGTGAATGCGGGGTCCGGGGAGATCGGATATAGTGAATGCGAGGTCCGGGGAGAGCGGATATAGTGAATGTGGGGTGCCGGGGAGAGCGGATATAGTGAATGCGGGGTCCGGGGAGAGCGGATATAGTGAATGCGGGGTATGGGGAGAGCGGATATAGTGAATGCGGGGTCCGGGGAGATCGGATATAGAGAATGCAGGGTCCGGGGGGGAGTGGATATAGTGAATGCAGGGTCCAGGGAGAGCGAGATATAGTGAATGCGGGGTCCGGGGAGAGCGGATATAGTGAATGCGGGGTCCGGGGGAGAGCGGATATAGTGAATGCGGGGTCCGGGGAGAGCGGATATAGTGAATGCAGGGTCCAGGGAGAGCGGATATAGTGAATGCGGGGTCCGGGGAGAGCGGATATAGTGAATGCGGGGTCCGGGGAGATCAGATATAGTGAATGCAGGGTCCGGGGAGAGCGGATATAGTGAATGCGGGGTCCGGGGAGAGCGGATATAGTGAATGCGGGGGGTCCGGGGAGAGCGGATATAGTGAATGCAGGGTCAAGGGGAGAGCGGATATATAGTGAATGCGGGGTCCAGGGAGAGCGGATATAGTGAATGCGGGGTCCGGGGGGAGATCAGATATAGTGAATGCAGGGTCCGGGGAGAGCGGATATAGTGAATGCAGGGTCCTAGGGGGGGAGAGCGGATATAGTGAATGCAGGGTCCAGGGAGAGCGGATATAGTGAATGCAGGGTCCAGGGAGAGCGGATATAGTGAATGCGGGGTCCGGGGAGAGCGGATATAGTGAATGCGGGGTCCGGGGAGATCAGATATAGTGAATGCCGGGTCCGGGGAGAGCGGATATAGTGAATGCAGGGTCCGGGGGGGGAGAGCGGATATAGTGAATGCGGGGGTCCGGGGAGAGCGGATATAGTGAATGCAGGGTCCGGGGAGAGCGGATATAGTGAATGCGGGGTCCAGGGAGAGCGGATATAGTGAATGCGGGGTCCGGGGGAGAGCGGATATAGTGAATGCGGGGTCCGGGGTTTAGTAACACTTTAATGTGGACTAGAGGGGAAGCCTTTAGTCAGTCCATAGAAGTGATTCAACTTTTTGACTATCTGCTTGGCAGTTGTGCTTTAAGGAGGCTCGAGGCTGGAGAGGAAAAGGTTAGAGTGAGAATGTGAGTGTCAGCTCTGTGGGTTTAGTAGTGGTGTCTGCAGACACTGCCAATACTATGTGTTTGCATAGCTGCGTTTATTTATAGACTGATTGTGTCATTGGGACGTGTCTTCATGGCGAGGCTCTGATAAGGTGCTGCGAGTACAAACAAATATTTCGTCCCCACCAAGAAGCCGAGGGATCCGATTACGCCGCACACACAGGATAATGGGAGTAAACACCCAGCCTCAGGCGTCTGTGGGCGCTCACCGCGCTCTCTACAAACATGACCCGTCCACAGCCTACTACACGCGATGAGAAAATCGGACACAAAATACCGATTCCGGAGCGATCGTCCGACAATCCGATCGTTTGTACACAGCTTATGGCAGGTCATGCAGAATTATCCGAAGGGACAAGCAGGAGAAATGATCGTGTACGATAACAGAATGAACGATTTTTGCTTCATTAGTACCGTATTCGAAAAATTGGATGACCAACACCGCGTAAGCCCGGAAATGAAATCATTAAAGTACAATACGTGACACCATCGCAGGAGTTGTGTTCTGTCTTATGAGACGTTCTGTGACTCTAGTGACTTATCTGTTTACGATACGAGGCTAGCATGCAAAACAAACAGACACTTCAACATGAAATGCTTTCTGGCCTTCCCTTCAGGTGTACCGGCTCCTCCCCTTCAGTCTAGCACAGGTGTACCGGCTCCTCCCCTTCAGTCTAGCACAGGTGTACCGGCTCCTCCCCTTCAGTCTTGCACAGGTGTACCGGCTCCTCCCTTTCAGTCTTGCACAGGTGTACCGGCTCCTCCCCTCCAGTCTCGCACAGGTGTACCAGCTCCTCCCCTCCAGTCTCGCACAGGTGTATGGGCTCCTCCCCTTCAGTCTCGCACAGGTGTACCGGCTCCTCCCCTCCAGTCTCACACAGGTGTACCGGCTCCTCCCCTCCAGTCTTGCACAGGTGTACCGGCTCCTCCCCTCCAGTGTAGCACAGGTGTACCGGCTCCTCCCCTTCAGTCTAGCACACAGGTGTACCGGCTCCTCCCCTTCAGTTTAGCACAGGTGTACCTGCTCCGCCCCTTCAGTTTAGCACAGGTGTACCGGCTCCTCCCCTTCAGTCTAGCACAGGTGTACCGGTTCCTCCTTTTTAGTCTTGCACAGGTGTACCTGCACCTCCCCTTCAGTCTTGCACAGGTGTACTGGCTCCTCCCCTCCAGTCTTGCACAGGTGTACCGGCTCCTCCCCTCCAGTCTCGCACAGGTGTACCGGCTCCTCCCCTCCAGTCTTGCACAGGTGTACTGCCTCCTCCCCTCCAGTCTCGCACAGGTCTACCGGCTCCTCCTTTCCAGTCTTGCACAGTTGTACGGGCTCCTCCCCTCCAGTCTCGCACAGGTGTACGGGCTCCTCCCCTCCAGTCTCGCACAGGTGTACGGGCTCCTCCCCCCAGTCTTGCACAGGTGTACCGGATCCTCCCCTCTTCAGTCTTGCACAGGTGTACCGGCTCCTCCCCTCCAGTCTTGCACAGGTGTACCGGATCCTCCCCTTCAGTCTTCCACAGGTGTACTGACTCCTCCTCTTCAGTCTTGCACAGGTGTACCGGCTCCTCCCCTTCAGTCTTGCACAGGTGTACCGGCTCCTCCCCTTCTGTCTTGTACAGATGTACCAGCTCCTCCCCTTCAACAATGCACAGGTGTACTGGCTCCTCCCCTTCAGTCTTGCACAGGTGTACCGGCTCCTCCCCTTCAGTCTTGCACAGGGAGTTTCTCACAATGTGCATTAGAAGCTGCAGCAAGTCAGATAGAGCTCTGCCTCATTTCCTGGCTGGACGTCCAGTGTCATCTAGGTCTTTCCTCCTCAGCCCCTGGTCCGCCCCTTTCATTTATTGGCTTTCACTTCTTTCAAGCAAGTCAGATAGAGCCCACCTAATTTCCTGGCTGGAGGACATCCGCCATCATCTAGCCCAGTGGTCTCCACACTGTGGCCTGTGGGGCCGAATGCAGCCTTTTACTTGTCTTCATGTGGCCCCTGAGGAATTATGCTTTCCACTGACACAAGGCATGATTCCTTCTACTGACACCAACAATGAGACGCCATTCCTTCCACTGACACCAACTGTGGGGCATGACTCCTCCCACCCCTTTCATTCATTGGATTTGAGATCTGTCTATCATGGAGGCTCAGTATCACATATGGGTGTTACCTATGCAAATACAGCCTCCCTAGGAATGCCCACTCCTCCGGACCAGGGGCGGACTGACCATTTGGAAACTCGGACACTGCCCGAGGGCCCGGGGTCAGTAGGGGGCCCCATGAAATGCCCCTGGTACCTTTTTCATAGGCTTTTTTGAGTTTGGGCAAGGACACAGGGGCCCCATGATCCCCTATTGCCCGGGGGCCCCATGAGTTGTCAGTCCGCCCCTGCTCCAGACTGACATTCAGCCATCAAGGTGTTTGCACAACTTCTCCCAAGAGCCATCCCACTGCTTTCATCAGGACTGAGAGGAGGCAGGGTGCTTTGATGTTTTCAGTACGGCACCCTGCCGGCTCCTCCCACCAGCCACACTTTGCCTGCGTTGCATAGAGAAACACAGAGACCCAATGATGGCAACACCAGGTCTAAAATTAGGTACGTCATGAAAATGGAACAAATTTAATTAAAAATGTCATTGGCATGTTGATGAAGGGGGGAGCCAGGGAAGGCAAAATCTAAGCAGATTAAACTTCAGCACTGCACTACTTCACCGGATCACCGACGTCTCAGGATCATGACTCACACATTGCTTCCCTTTGTAGAACTTTGTGAATTTGTAAGCTGCGTGTGAATATTTATAGGGTCACGGGATGTGGATTTAGCCTCCGGTTCACACTGGTGCGACTTGTGATGAGATTTGACAGTTCCAAATCCCACGACGAGTTGCACCCTATTGTCGGCAATGGAGCCGTTCAAATCCTTAAAATTAGTTCCTGCGCTGTTTTCGGCAATCCGCATATGAAATCGCACCGGGTCCAAGGCTTCGAAATCGTGCCACTTCAAGTGAACTAGAATGCTTTCAGTGTTTCATTCACCCCCGGTTCACATATATATGGCGGTGCGGGCCGCGTTCTGCACGGCATGAGAGCCTATTCATTTGAATGGACTCCCGTGCCCCGGGACACGCAGGGAAAGAAGTCCCCGGCACTTCTTCTGAAAACGCAGCCAAGGTTCCCAGTACGGTTGTGTTTTCCAGTGCGGGCGGCACTCTGCCCGCGGGTCCGCAGTCCTCTGTGCGGGTGGTGCGGCTACACGGATTTTCGTGCAGATCTGCAGTGGCACCACCCGCACAGATGTGAACCGGGGGGTCAGTGTGAACCGCGGCTTAAACTCTGAAAAGGACGAATCCCACCAACTGCCGGGCTTTGCCATTTTCTGCTTCTCAGCTTCCAACATAGAGGCCGAGGCTGCAAATAAAGGCGGTATATATGTCAGATATTGGGAATTATTCTTCTTTTTTGATGAACAACATCTCATAACTCAACTTCAATAAAAATTTAGCGAGTCTGCGTTTGTCGTCGTCATAAAACACTCATACCCCTCCATAAATAAACTTTTATCTGCACTGCCCTGCCTTTGTCCACTAGGGGCATTATCAATCCTTTTATGCTGGAATTCCGAATCTTCGGAGATGAGTTGTCAGTGAGCTCTGAGCAATAAACCCGCTTTCTGTTCACAGAATGTAGGAATGAGGATTACTCTTCACTGGAGACAAACAAATGTAGGCAGAAGGGGAACCACAAGTGCCAGCATGCTCAGATATCCAGCCGAGGAGCGCACCAATGCTTGATTTATTTATTTCAAGGACTTATATAGCGCCATCAATTTACACAGCGCTTTACATATATATTATACATTCACATCAGTCCCTAACCCTCAAGGGGTGTACAATCTAAGGTCCCTAACCCTCAAGGGGTGTACAATCTAAGGTCCCTAACCCTCAAGGGGCGTCCAATCTAAGGTCCCTAACCCTCAAGGGGCGAACAATTTAAGGTCCCTAACCCTCAAGGGGTGTACAATCTAAGGTCCCTAACCCTCAAGGGGCGTACAATCTAAGAGCCCTACCCTCAAGGGGCATACAATCTAAGGTCCCTAACCCTCAAGGGGTGTACAATCTAAGGTCCCTAACCCTCAAGGGGTGTACAATCTAAGGTCCCTAACCCTCAAGGGGCGTACAATCTAAGGTCCCTAACCCTCAAGGGGGTGTACAATCTAAGGGCCCTAACCCTCAAGGGGCGTACAATCTAAGGTCCCTAACCCTCAAGGGGTGTACAATCTAATACATCTTAGGTCCCTAACCCTCAAGGGGTGTACAATCTAAGGTCCCTAACCCTCAAGGGGTGTACAATCTAAGGTCCCTAACTCACATTCATACATACACATACTAGGGCCAATTTAGATAGGGTCCAATTAACCTACCAGCATGTGTTTGGAGTGTTAGAGAAAACCGGAGCACAGGGGCGGACTGACCAATCGAGCACTCTGTCACTGCCCGAGAGCCTGGGGTCAGTAGGGGGCCCCATGAGATGCCCCTGGTACCTTTCATAGGCTTTTTGGGCATGGTTTGAGTGTGGGTGAGGACAGAGGGGCCCCATGATCCCCTATTGCCTGGGGGCCCCATGAATTGTCAGTCCACCCCTGCCGGAGTACCTGGAGGAAACCCACGCAGGCACAGGGAGAACATGCAAACTCCAGGGAGGTGGTGCCGTGGTTGGGATTTTAACCAATGACCCGAGTACAGCCAGGCAGAAGTGCTAACCATTTAGCTATTGTGTTGCCCCATATCAGTGCTACTTTGAAGTCGCGCTTTAAATGGGATCAAATCACATTACTTTGAAATCGCAGTCGGTGTGAACCAGGGCTAAAAGTACAGCTGAAGGCTCCTACAGGACAGTCTAGTCAAGTACCAAATCCAGTTCCTGTGTGATGCTGAAGCCTCTTAAAGTAAACTGAAATCTTCTTTTACCTTTGCTGACTGAGCCAGATCCTCTTTTATTTGTATCTCACACCCCCCCCCTCCCAGACACTGCAGCTCAGAGTGGGAGGGGGTTTTGGAAACAGACGGTGCTGCCAATCCAGAAAGCAGCAGCAGCAGAACTAGGTGTGGTCAGATGCAGATTGACAAGCTACAGGCTTGTGAATAGGCAGCGACAACGCTGATAGTCCCACCCTCTGCATCATCTCCTCCCACTGTGATCCAATCAGACACGTCCTACATGAGAGTGACAACTCTGCTCTGAATTCAGGAGCAGGGCAGCATTGTTGCCAGCCTATCACCAGAAGCTGCATCAGGTGGACTGACAGGACCAACTAGTATCTGTGTACAAGAAAGCTGTAAGCAAAGATGGACCTATGATTACCCCCCCTGGCGGTATTCCTGAGTGTAGCTCGGGGTGAACTTTCAGAACCAGAAGCGGTAAACCCCCCCCGAGCTACACTCGGGAATACACTGCAGCGATGCTCCGGGATCCCTCGATCAATTACCTTGTCCTACGCTCCCGCGATGTCCCCCCTGCAGTGTCCCCGGCAATGTCCTCCGGCCGATGCCGGCATCCGTCTTCCGGGTTCCGTTCCCTGCGAGCGTCGGGACGTACGGGGGACGGAACCAGCGGGAATTTTTAAAAATTTGACATTCACTAAATACACTAAAATCACATAGTAAAACATTCCTGTATCAAACCATTTCACATACATTTTGTCCCGAGTGCTTTGTCCGGCGCCCTGCCTGCATTTTTTTACCGCCCTTTTTGCCTGGAAACTGAGAAAAGTCCATGGCGTCCAAAGCGTCCCTTTAGGTCAGACACGGTTTTAGAGCGGCTAGAGAACAGCGATAGTAAATCAGAACCACTTGCAGAATTGAGTGATAATGATTGGTGGGGGAAATTCCTCATCAGACACTGAAAACGATTCTGCGACTTTGCTCAGCGATGTGCGAACTTGGCGCTATATTTCACATTTCAGTGTTTTTGGTTTGATTATATTATTGAATTAAATGTTTTATTATATTATTATTTTTTATGATTATTTATTAGATTATAATTTATGATTTCATGTTTCAAATTTTATCACAACCCCGGGATGTTAACTAGACTCTTGTTCGGACAGATTTCAGTGAGTTATTCCTAAGAATTACAGGCCTACAATAAAAAAAAAAACAACATATTTCCATTGAATACAAAGTAGCTTTAGCACAGAAATACGGCATAATCCGTAAGTGAGCAGTACGTATAATATTGTAAACGGGAGGCTGAACTGCAAAATGTAATTTGCAAGGCAATCTGTAGTACCGTGACAGACCAAAGGGGGCAGTTTCTGCAGTGGGGAGGGGCAAAAACATAACTATTACCCCGCAGCAAGAAGAGGGAGCGACGTTGGTTCCCGCAATGGCAGTTGGGTGCTGTTGGGACTCCATGCGGGATGATGCACATTATCACCACATCTATGAAAGCTGTTTCTAAGTCGGGTGCAATGAAGTGGAATGGAATGTGATGCGGATGAAACGTTGATTTAGGATGAGTTTGATGAAGAGTGGTAAATGTGTATATACAGGAGATCAGGTCTTTGTGTTTCCACTGTTCCATGGCTGCCTTTAGCATTCACTCATAGCAGATACAGCGGGACCAGACTAATCCTGGGAGCCCATACCCTGTATAAATCATAGACGCTGCCTAAAGCAGAACTCCGGAGAACCAGCGGAACGT